TAGCCGAGAGAATGAAGCTCATTCTTGCCAAAGACCCAGTCAATCATCGCTACGAAGTGTCTAATAACCATCTGTTGAAATGCCAGGAGCCCTATGTTCAGCTGTATCACGACCACATCAATGCTAGCAGTCAACAAAATACCGAGTTCTTCACTCGCCAACCACCACAGCCAGCCCAAGTCAGTGATAGTGAGGATGTGGACTTTGAGGGGCTTGACGAGGAAGCCCTGCTAGCCTCTGTAGTGGATAGACAGGTGAGGGCCAATAATCTGCCCTCTGCCTCAGAACCAACCCCCCATCCCAGTGTGCCCAGCCATCTCTTCTACTAACGTAAGTGTTAAAAAACCTAATATTATTGATATTTCTCTTATATATTAATTGTGTGTGCATACCATCATAAAATTAAGATGTTATTTTTACTACAGTGTACGTATTGTGTCGGCGATAGCCAAAAAAAGGGTAGTCTGGCAGTCAGCCCAGTCTCTATTTCAATTAATCCCATAGGTTCTGTTATTATTTTTACGCGTTTCGCTTTATACGCGGACCTCCATGGGTTTAATTAACCGCGTAAAACCAGACTACCTATACTGGATACTATTTAGTAAAAAAAAAAAAAAAAGAGGTTCACGCTGAAACTACAATTGTGTCTGTAACACATATACTGTACTGGTATGCCCCACTAGCTGAACAATATAAAAATTATTAAAAAATTGGAAAAAGATTTAAAATAAAAAAATCAACCAAACTATACCTCAAAAGTGTATCCTTGGTATACATATGAAAAAAACTAAAAAGTTACAATGATATACAGTAGTACCCCGATTTACGCGGTCAATTGAACCCACAGGGTACCGCGTTAAGTGAAATCCGCGTAAATGGAACAACAGAACATATGGGATTAATTCCAATAGAGACTGGCCCGACCCCCAAACTCTACTTTTTCCGACACAATACCTATGTTCTAGTAAAAATAACATCTTAATTTTATGATGGTACATGCACACAATTAATACTTAAGAGAAATAGAGAAATACAGTCGCCAAGTTAATGTCCATTCAAATAATGGACTCAACTCCCTCCCCCTCTTCTCACACTACACTGCTGGCTCTTCCCTCTCTGAGAAATTTTGGGGGGAAAACCACTAGATTTTAATAAATAATACCTCAAACTAAAGTTAGGATAATATAATTGACATTGCTGGATTCCTTGTAAGACCAGGAATATTTTGAATATAAATGTCATATATTTTGCACAAAAGATAACATATTTACTCAGAGTAAACATTATATCTAAAATTTGTATGTCTAATGCAAAATCTATGATGTTTATATTCAAAATGATCATCAAATTGTAAGAATTCCAGCAATGTAAATTATATTCTGGCCGGGTAATTTGTATGAATTTTATGAGCTAAAACAAATATCTTCAGTTAATAAAAAAAAAATATTCTTCACGACACTATCTGTCAATCAAAGTACCCCACCTTGCCTCCCCCCCCTCTTCCAACCGCGCCAGATGGTCAGTCCCAACCCTCCCCCCCACCCCCCACCAACCCTCCCTACAAGAGAAATGTTGGGTGAAAAACTAGATTTTAACATTTAGTATTAAATAATACCTCAGATTAAAGTTAGGATAATATAATTGACATTGCTGGATTCCTTGTAAGACCAGGAATATTTTGAATATAAATGTCATATATTTTGCACAAAAGATAACATATTTACTCAGAGTAAGCATTATATCTAAAATTTGTATGTCTAATGCAAAATCTATGATGTTTATATTCAAAATGATCATCAAATTGTAAGAATTCCAGCAATGTAAATTATATTCTGGCCGGGTAATTTGTATGAATTTTATGAGTTAAAACAAATATCTTCAGTTAATAAAAAATAAAAATATTCTACACACCGTGCCAGATGGTCGGTCGGTCCCTCCCTACCAGATGTGTGGGAAAACCAGAATATTTACCTCTTTAGTTATAAATAATACCTCAAACTAAAATTAGGATAATATAAATGACATTGCTGGATTCCTTGTAAGACCAGGTATATTTTGAATATAAATGTCATATATTTTGCACAAAAGATAACATATTTACTCAGAGTAAACATTATATCTAAAATTTGTATATCTAATGCAAAATCTATGATGTTTATATTCAAAATGATCATCATATTGTAAGAATTCCAGCAATGTAAATTATATTCTGGCCGGGTAATTTGTATGAATTTTATGAGCTAAATAAAAAAATATATATTATACTTCACCGCGTATATGAGTAGATGAACCGCGTTAAGTGAAAGTTCGGTTCTTGCAAGGCACCGCGTATATGAGAAATCGCGTTAAGTGAAACCGCGTAAAGCGGGGTAATACTGTACATTGAATACTTTTTGCTTAATTCTGCTGACAATCTTAGACAAGATGGAAGTGTTTGTACTGTATGTATGTATGTATGTATGTATGTATGTATGTATGTATGTATGTATGTATGTATGTATGTATTTATGGGTACTGCATATATGTACGCATGTATACGTACAAACAAATGGATGGCACAATTTTTTTAGCTTTTAACCAGTGAAATATAAATATCATCTAAACAGCCTGAATTTACATACTGTACTACTTCTGTAGTACAGTATGTAGTATGTTAAAGTAAGTTTGACAAAAGGTTAACACAGCGATCATAGGAATTTACAATTGAAAAATACAGAAAATAAGCCTTTGTTACCATACTGATAAAGAAAAGCTCAAAAGTAAGAATCATTGTGATAATTTTAAATAATTTTTTCCTGCCTCAGTAAATTTTTGGCAGTTAATATCACATCAGTGTAACGAAGTCTCAGTTTGGTCAGGAGAGACTGCTGGTTAAAATGACAACAGAAACATATATTTATTGTAACCCCAAATTTTTTATTTTTTCAGGTCACACTGTATGATGCAGTACAGTATTTCTAAATGTGCCAAAAATAAATCAAAGTAAAATCCTAAAATGTACAGTAAGTGATATGAAGTTGCCTGAATACATGTGTACTTTGTACTTTGTGTATTTCAAATACTGTACTACAATAATCAAGAAAAAACAAACTGTAATATCTGACCCCCACTTTCCACTTGGTAAAAATGATATCCTCCAAGGCAAGATGAATTAATTCAGTACTGTATAGTCACAGCACAAGGGACCAGCTTTATAAATGCCTGAGCTCAAGATCAACTTTGGGTCTCATGATCTGAATCTGTTGTGTTCATTTTCTTGATGTCCCAAGTCTTGTATCAGTATGAGAGCTTTACCTTCAAATGCTGTTTATTTATTCTCTTATTGTAATGTTTTAGTATAGTGCTCCTCTTCCACAACAAGGACCTATGACATCCTTTTGTTTTTCCCTGTTATTTCATACAACCTAGCATCCATTTAAAAATAAATAAACTTGAGATCATGACATTCATTCATTCATGTACACTGTTGCTTTCTATGTAGCAGCTTCTTCACCCTCTTCTTTTGCAAATTTCTTTGTCTTTCTCTCACACATCTACCATCCTTGTCCCATTCTACCCAAATGATCAATTCACTAAGGCAAATGCTGGTCAGCTCTCTGATGCTTCTCTCTTCGCTTCACTGTGACTGATTCTAAATACTCTAAATACTGTACAATATACAGTACAGTACAGGTACTACTTAAAACCAAAATTTTCTTATATCCATTTAACTATCATCGGTTTTTTACATAAGACCTACAGTATAAATAAAATTAGTATATCACCTGCTTTTACTGAATCTCAAATTGTATATCGTATATTTCTGGAGTCGGTTTTATTTATTTATTTTTAAACAATGCATTACTGATATCTTTCACAAAATTCTATTTTGGGGAAACTAAATGGCCTTTCTTCTAGTATCAATAACAAAATACTAATGGAACAGTGTTAGGATATGGGTTCCCAGTATCAGATAATTTAAAATTTGCCTAACAAGATAATTATATTGTACAGTTTCCTATTTATCAAAACCTCACCAATATTGCATAATATATCCATAATATATAGAATATGATGGATTAATGTAAGATCATTTACTGACAAAGAAATATCTACAATAAATGTATGGATCAATGATGCCATCTAAAATAACATACAGTACAGTTGTGACCAAAATTCCCTTGACAGTTGGAAAAATCTAGCATTTACTTGTGTGTCATATATGTATACTCTGGTTTTTGTAATAGAATACAGTATGTCAGATTAATAACATATAAACACTCCACAATGTGAAAACAAAATCTGAGTAAACAGACTTAAACATTTCAATCTCCCTTATCTATATAATCCTCAAGTAGATGACAGATATTGCCAAAAGACTTTAGGAAATATATCAGCAACTACACAAGTAGACTGCACATTTTCCTAGTTCTAACATGGAATTAAGAAGATTAAAGCTTTTCACCAAACTTTCAGGTTCATGCAAGAGGAGTCAGTACATTACTTTTGGGAGTCTTCACGGTAGTGGTCATGATGGCGCATGCACCTTACCATGATGGAGGAGGATTGGGATGCTAAAATGAACAATAACGTTACATTATATGAGACAAGACAGTATGACCATACAACTAGTAGCATACATGGCAAAGGGTAACTACATACAATTGCTAATACAGGTAGGCAGAGCAAAACTAATAAGGTTGAGTTTACTGAATCTGGTACAGTAATGCAATAAATTAGAGGTTGAAGGGGAGGATTGTCAATCTTAAAATACATCATAAATCTTGGAGGAATAGGAAGAGTATACTGTACAGGAAAAAGGATACTATTTGTGGAAAAGAGTAGGAACTGTAGAACCAAAGGTTTTAAATGTAAAAATGTGTCAGTTTTTCTGTATGGGAGGAATGGGTTGAGAATGGACACTATAAAAAGTTCCAATTGTAATTTGAGACTAGGGGTATGTAATCAGGACCATGAAAGGAAAAGGGTGGAGGGAGGTTATAATTTATTCTGACACTTACGTCCATCTCTGACCGGGATCTTGTCGCCTGTGGGGAGGGATGGGCATTAGAATTTTGTCTTCGTTTTTTTTTCTATCAGGAGCTAACCTGATTAGCCACATGACCTCAGTAACAACTGATTCAACTTTTTCAATATACTCATGATATTATACATTGATTCTTACTTTTTTCACTGTACATTTGGGATACTAATTCACTTCTGTCTGAAATGACATCCTTCACATAGTAATAACTAAGTGCACTTTAAAGGTGCATAAGAATTAATTATTCTGTGATTCTTCTATGCGGTGAAGTAGACCTGACACGTAGAGTAGTGTAGCTACGACGTGCTAGATGAGGTGTCTGGCACTGAATGCCACCCCACTGGTGCTCTAGAGGGCATTGCCCTAGGGACTCCTGGCTGATGGTTACCAATGACTGCCTGCTGGGGTGCCACCCTTGTAGCATCCACTACACACACGCCTACTTTCAACTGTCCTGGAGTATCAAGGTCAGTTGTGTGGTGGTGGGACATGTGTGAATGTGGAATGATATGAAACAGAACATAAGATCTTGTCAATATAGTTTCCCAGGACCCTTTTACCAACTACTTAAGTAATACTGCCAAGTTTTGCTACTGCCCTGGGCATGTAGTCAGCAACAGGACAGCATCAAGATAGCAAGTACTATACATGGAGGATGGTAATAAGGTGAAAGGATAAAAGTACTGTACAGGTATTAGCATTAGAGTAGTGTAAAGGTTGCATCCCCAGCAGCTCCAGTCCGGCATAAACTACACTTGCTGACCCATATCTGAAGTCACCAACAAAAGAAAACTTAAAACAGCTAACACTGTTACCTCTGATTTGCATATCTCACAGTGCATGATACATTTATATATAATACTTTCTTCTGATGCAAACCAACAGTTATCATTTAAATGCTCATAAGGCATCTGAAGGCAGTCACATGAACAATCAAGTTTACACACAACGTCAAAAAGATAACTGTAAGGATTGTGAAACTACAACTCCTACAGTCAGTAATCAAAGACTCAGTACCTCCCTACGAGGAAGTGCGGTAAGGCAGGCGGCAGGTGGAGGGCCACATCAGCCAGTGGAGAAGTGGAGACTGGCTGATGGAGGGGGCCATGGAGGAGACCAACTAGGGGCCTGCACACTACACCACTACAACCCACCACCCGCCCACTGGCCACCCACCGACTTCCACTACCAAGTAACACTAATTTATAAACTATATAGACTTGCAAGACAAACAATGGTCACATTCCTAGTAGATACAGCATTTAGAAGTCCAAGAAGCTAATATTCAATGGAACCAGACAATTTTATAATGGTTGCGTGTAAGTGAATCAATTATCTTTGTTAATATTAATTACTTAAATTCAATGGATTAATTCTTTGAAAAATATTAGAATCAGAATTTGGTTTATCTTTATGAGTTTTTCTTATAATTGCCTGTCCTCAAACAGACAATATTAAAGAACAATATGAAAACATTCAATCTAAAAATCAAACTGTTGAGTGTTTTACTGGTATATGTACAGTGATGTATCTGTACTGTCTTTTTATTTTATGGTTAAATGCAATTTTTAACATTTGTGTAAAAGATCAGTACTCCAGAATACTAACAGGAAATTTTATCATACGCTGATGAACTACAATACTATATCATAATTCATTAAAAAACACAAAATAATGTAACTGTGGATTGGAAATTTTTCAACACTGACCCTTGTCAGTGTATCTTATGATATATTTCAGAGCATCTTTTGTTATATTTATATCTAACAAAATCTAAACACTGCACCTCAAAGGAATGTTGCCAAAAGCTCGCTTATTCAAGATACCATTACATAACAGTCAAGCTACAAAATTCTCATTTACTTAAAATATATTTTGATTAAGAAAAGTTGCATTGGACTCAGCCAAATACTAATTACTGTACCTACTTTTAAGACTCTCAGAAGACTCGCAAGGAATAAAATTATAAAGGTTGAAAGTGGGATATTGTGAAAGAATGTGAAAGAAGCAACTATGGTACCTCTGGAGTTGTTAAGAAGACGCTTTGGAAGTTCGGGAGGGGTGTAAGTAACTTGGTAGAGTTCTGTTTCAATATCTGACTTATCTGAAACAAACACACCGAAAAAATTCGCGTAACTAACAGCCACACAGTAGTAAAAGAAAAGAAATAAAATAATAAAATAAGAAATGAGAAAAAGTTATAAACAATAAATAAATAAAATAGAAATTAAATTATTATAAACAAATAGAAATCCTCTGTTGATAAATAATGGTAACAGATGCCAAAGAGGACTTAATCAGGTATTATTAATCCAAAAAGATTATCATGGTTTTAGGAAAGGAATTTGAAACAGGATACCAAGTGTCCATAAGGTACAATAGTACAGTATATATCTTACTATTTTGCAGCACAAAGATTGCTTTTTGGTACACGCAACATACAGACTGTGTATGCATAAAATGAATAACCATATCAGCTTTATAATTTAATAAATAGCTAAAGGCCAGTACAGATAAACGGACCATATTATCTTTATTCGCAGGTATCTTGTGGACACTGAAGGGTGGTGTTTCTGGTAGTTTATATGTAAAAGGATTAAGGTAGTTATTGAGTAGTATCCAGGAGTCATAAGCTGTGAAAGGCTATCTAATATGGTACTCTTAATTCAATATAAATATTTATAGTACAGTACTGTACAGAGTCTTATTACTTATACTGCCCTTTTATCCATACATAAAAATGTAAGAGCAAGATAATTCCTTTAAAAAATTTAATTCTGATGTATAATACCTTCCCTAATTAAGGCGATCCTCACAATGGTCACCTTATTCTTACACAATGACTGATATATTGTACTGTATATGAAGTGAGAAGGTTTTATATTTAAAAAAAAAGTTACTTTCAATAAACAACAATATTCTACAATATACAGTACAGGCACCTGTACTACAGTAACTGAAATACCTTAGTTTTTCATCATAATAAACCAAAAAAGTTATTATGAACGTGTACTAATTTTTTTCCGAGCACATTCTGCTTTCACTAACCATTACTCCTGGACTTAATTGTAGAGACTCTAGTATGAGCTACTTAAAACCCTTTGTCTATTAATGTAACTAAACCCTCTTAGTCAAAGACTATGGTAAGAAGGTGGCCATGAGTCTGGATTGGTTATTTCTCTCTAAGAAAGTTTCTACATGTTAAAAACAGTCAAAATGTACAAAATCTCCATCTAAAAAGAAATACGAATTAATCGTAGATGTCAGATCATTGTCTAAATTCCTAAAAAAAATTGTGGACATCAAAAAAATAACATTACAGTATTAAAAAGTATGTTACCCAATTTCCTCTTGCTACTGGAGTGCAGTTAATTATACACTTCTTAATGTATAATAAATTCTATATAAACTGTTCTATTTTGAGTTAAAGTTCTCACATAGGAACCAAGCAGGCTCTTCCAGCTCACACTGGGACTTATGGGCAAAATTAACATAATAAACTATTTAACTTAAACTGGAAAAATTAAATAAAAATGAACACTGTACAAAACAAGAACAAATCAAAATGTAAATATAACTAACAGCAAGTACAGTAATGAATTGTACATTAGTCAGTAACTAATAAAAATTAAATATAATAAACAGGAAAACTGTGTGGGAAGTGTAGAGCCTGATGCTGGGAGTGCGATTTTGGCAGCTGGAGTGAACATAAGGAAATGTCATGGAGAAATTATGAATACTTTCTGTGCAATTTATGAAAAGTCAATTACCCGGTAAGGGGTGTTTATACAGTTATGAATTAACAAGGCTACAGCAGCTATGGTAAATGATAAACCTTTAGAAAATATACTCTATCAAACTATTATATGAAAATTAATCCAAAAATTTATAAACAATAAAAAAAATGGATTTTGTGGAAATAAAATTAAAAAATAATTGGTTACAAAACTTGAGATTGAGGAGAATTATAACTCCTGTACTGTGATGGGGAGCATGAAGAACCATGTGCCTTATATGTGGGTGATGGGCAGGGTGAAGAACCATGTGGCTTATATGTGGTTGATAGGGAGGGTGAAAAACCATGTGGCTTATATGTGGTTGATGGGGAGGGTGAAAAACCATGTGGCTTATATGTGGTTGATGGGGAGGGTGAAGAACCATGTGGCTTATATGTGGTTGATAGGGAGGGTGAAAAACCATGTGGCTTATATGTGGGTGATGGGTAGGGTGAAGAACCATGTGGCTTAGATGTGGGCGATGGAGAAGGTTAAAATAACATGTTAACACTCCAGTATTTAAGTGATGGGAAGGTTATGTAACATGTGTACTCTATGTAAGTGATGGGAAGGCTATGTAACATGTACACCATGTATGTGATGGGAAGGTTATGTAATGTGTACACTGTATTATGAGTGATGGGGGGGGAGTAAGCAATGCTGATAGATGAATATTGAATAGTAGAACGTTGATTTAAAGCGATTCAATTTAAGATTATTGATTTAAAGTGACACCCACAATTAAGGACAATGTTTTAATTTAAAGCGAATCTTTCATATTTAGCGCGAGTCAATCTGCCGCATCATATTTTAAATTTTGCGCCTAATGTTTCTCTGGGCATGCTACACTGTCCTAAGGGCAAAGCTGTATTGTACATGTACTCAAAATAATGTACTAAATGATTACTAAAATTTTTGTCTTGTGCAAACTGTAGCATGATTACATTTAAATTAATCACTATCTTATAAGAATTCCAGCAATGTAAATTATATTCCCCCCAGTCACGTCTGTGACATTTTATAAGCAAAAAACAAAAACTAAATCTAAAGGACATAAATAAACAAATAAGTACTTCACTACAACTGTCAAACACGTCACCTCCCCTTTCTCCCCCCCTCCTAGCCAATGTTTGGTGGTTATAGGCTTTAAGTTTTATCTTATTTAATATCACAGACTAAAGTTAGGAGAATATAATTTGCATTGCTAGAATCCTTGCAAGACAGCAAAGAAATTGAATATAAACGTCATATACTGCACAGTCATCCCTTGGTTATAGAACACTTGGTTATCGCGATTTTCGTTATCACGTCCCCATCAAAATCTGCACACCTGCTGTTATAGCGCAATTTTCAAGCAGAGAATTTCGTTATCACGCAGTTGCCTCTTGGTGTATTGTTACCCCCTTGCTTCACCTACATCTATTGAGGATAAAATCTTTCCCCTACAATTGACAATAACACATTTGCTGTAATCAGACATATCTAAGTTGCCTCAACAATTGCAACCCCAGTTGCAATTTCAAATTCTGTGTCATTACTAAGGAATAACGAAGTCTCGGGTGCACTCTAAGATTGAGAGAAAATGGAGGACTGAGGCGTCCTGAAGCGATGAGAAAACGGACTCCTCAGACAGGGGACTGAAATAAGGAAAGCATAGCTTCATGTTTTGTGGACTACAGTATTGAGCGTAACCTTTTCATCACTTTTTAATAAACCTAGCCATGCCTATGTGTGTTTCTGATACTTACCATAACATTAGCTATATCTTTAGTGGGTCTAAATGATCGTAAAATGGGAAAATTGGGGTTGGGTCTTGGGTGCCTGGAACCAATTAGAATAAATCCCATAGGTTCTGTACTTTCATTATCGCGTTTTTCGTTATCACGCACTCGGCGCGGTCCCAATTGGGCGTGATAACCAAGGGATGACTGTACTTTTCATAAGAGATAAAAATTTTAGCCCTTTGTAATTAAATTTAGAACTAAAATTTGTATGTGTAATGTGAACTACAGCATGTTTATATTCAAACTAATCACTATTTTATAAGAATTCCAGCAATGTTATTTACATTCTCCCATGTCAGTTCAGTGACATTTTATAAGAGAAAAACTTAAAGTCACCCTTAAGGACAGATAAATAAATAAATAAGCACTAGACCTTGGCATCAACTCTCAAACATATCACCTCACCTTCCCCCCCCCCCACCCCATCAGCTGATCGCTAGTAAGCAGACCATTTCAAGTTCCATAATTTTAGCTGTGTTGATTTATGAATATTTGTTTTAACATAATATACTACAAAAAACAATGTTTTGTTTATTCTAGGAGATGGTCTGAGGTGCATCTGGGTAGATTCTCAGTCTTTTTAGTATTTTGTGTTTCTTTCAAGTCCCAAACTAAATTATTCCATTGAAACAACAATTCGATTTAGTGCGAATTCGGTTTAAAGCGACCTCTCTTGGAGCCTATTTCGTGTTATATCGACGTTCTACTGATACATGATATGAACTGAGCTGGATAGTGGAGCAACATGGGGGTGAGGGCAAGTGCAAAGTGGGTGATAGAGAAGGAAAACCAGTAAATGATGATAGTGGATAAAAAAAATTGATGTAATATACTTCATGTTTCGTAATAAAAATTTTGGTATATAAAAATCTGCCTCAGACATCAATGTTCCGAGCCCAATCCTTTGAATTTGCAATACACAAAATGTGTAAAAAAAAATTATATAAAAGATTTCAAAAATTAAATATATATATATATATATATATATATATATATATATATATATATATATATATATATATATATATATATATATATATATATATATATATATATATATATATATATATATATATATATAAAATTATCAGAAGTGCTACATCAACTTTTTATGAGTTACAGTATACTTGTAAAGTTTATATGTACTGTATGTTGTACAATATATCTAGTGCACCCCAGCTGCCATTGCCCTTGTTGGGGCATCATGCACACCTGCACCACTACAGTGTGGTCTGTTGCTACGATCTTGAAGGGTTGTATACATACGGGCGCTTCAAAATAGCAGTAGCAAGTTTCTACATAATACCCATATTTCCTTTCTCGCAGCAAAGTTTCGGCATTCCTTAATGATGAAATCCACGATCTGCCACTGGTTTTGGAGTGAGTTCTCGTTAAGTGAGATCCGTTCTAAACAATAATGTACTTTGACTAGTTGAACACTCATCTAATCATAATACAGTCACGTTTGATCAGAAATGCGTCTTAGCCCACAGAACTCTTGCAGCCCTTGCTATGCTGCACATCGAAGGCCCTGTATCATCTAAAAATTTTCTTCTCATGCGGCTGTTGTACAAGTCATCAACAGCGACTCGCCTATGAAACCAAAATGTTCATAAAAAAAGCTTTATTTCCGATGTGGACTTACTTGGTATAAAGGTAACCTCTTCACCTTACGAACACAAGAAAGACAGAGAGAAGGAGTGAAGGTTAGTAGGAGGAAAGAGAGAAGAAAAATCTGTTTATTCTTAGTATATCTTAGACTTGTGTCCATACTAAATTCGATAGCTATACTAATTTTCATTTTGATATTCAAACATGTCATAATGTTTATCATCTCATATTATCGATTTTAAATACAGTAGTTTCAATGTATCTAAATGACATCATAAATAACTGATCGATTTCATTATGCAATTATCATGTCCAATAATCACGATGTTCTGCTAAGAAGCTGAAATCGCTAGAGATTTAATGAACTGCGTGTTAGGATTAGTTAGCGGACTGTGGGGCAGGTCTGGCTGTAACCTTAATATGAGCCATGCAGATAATAAATCACCAGATTCAGGGATTCAAACAAGCCTTGGCACCGAATTCTGGACTGTCAACATAGTTCTCTGTTAGAATATTTATTACATTTCTTCTAAGTAATGAACACAATGATTTGTCCCTGTTTTTCTACTTTCAGTCCTGTGCAGCCACATATCATATGACAAAGTATTTTATACAAAAACATTATTTCCTTTAGAAAAAAAAAAAAAAAAAAAAATTAACAAATATCTGTTTAAGACTTTACACATACTACTGTCTCAATCCTCAGAATTCGGGTCCATTCCTTATTGTGTGCCATGTTCGATGGATACTCATCTTGAACTCCCTGAAACTTGTGGTTGATGATACACCACGGGTATGGAAATTCATATAATATGTAGTACATGCAACATGCATTTTACACGGCCATCACCACCACGGTCGCAAGGATGTTACCTACTTGTTCGGCCTACCAATTGGACAGCGCGGACTCCTTTCCTGAATAATGCCACTAAAGAGAAGACAGGAGTTAGTGCGGGCAGCAGAAAACACATGCACCACCGCCCACAGTAAAGATAATGGAAAAGATATAAAACAAATATCATACCTTTCTTCACTCACCTCTGCCTCACTCACTATATATTGTGTGGGGTGAGAGAGGGTTTCTCTATTAGTGTGAAGTGAGTTGTGGCAGTTCATCATCTTGTCCTTCTTCATTAAGCCTCAGCTTCAGGGATATCATTCCTAAGCTGATACAGTATTACAGGGAAATTTACATCTCATTTGTATGCAGTATGTAAATTTCTACTGGTCAGTATTCACTATTTTTTTATCTTTAATGTGCAACAGCTATGAATGAATGACATCCCTAGAGCTGATACTTGACAGTAGTGGCAGTGAAGGAGGCAGAGGGGTACCAAGTCCGCCCGCCCACCTGCCCCACCCACAAAATGCCCATAGCACAACCATTCCACCACGAGCATACCCATGCCAGCAAGATCATGCTCTTCATTCAACTCAGGAAGTACCAAATTGTTTTGGGCATTAATTTTTGTGGTGTTATCTGTTAAAATTATAATTTACAGTACAAAATTTGTGCTAATACTGTAAAAATAGCAAACACAAATGGACAGCTATGTAGACCCAATAACATAACATTAAGAAAAATGAAGAAATTGCACAAAACTGTATACTGTATAAAAGCTTCACAATTACGCTTTATGAAGAATTTAGTAATATTTACATACAAATTTATCGAAGTGATAAAAATGTAAGTGTTGATATTGTTATATTGTAATAATGTTGATGATGAAGATGTTGATTAGAGTAATGGTGGCATAGGTAGTATGGTGGAGAGGGTTAATGGTGTATTGGTCACTGGTTGATGCTAGCAGTGGGCAGATGGAATTGGTGGGTAGTGTTGAAGGTTTGGGGTAAAATGGGAAGTGTGGGGGGCAGGGGCTGGGGTCCTTACCCATATAAGGCTGCCCCACAGCAAGACTTAGTACCCCTGGATGACAGCCCTTAGCCGGAGTTCTGGGTAGGCCTCCTCACCATCTCAACCACAAAGTCAAAATTTCATGCATGGGAGCAAGCCAAAGGAAAATTTGGTAGCAATGTTGCCGTGCACAACTGGTTGGCCAAGACCTGGAGGTCCTCCTCCACAAGACAGAGTGGGGATGTGAAAGGGATCCCACCCCTCCCTCTCTGAGAGGTGCAGGACAGATTAGTAGGTGACCATACCAGAAACTAGGAACCTTATATTATTTCAACAAAGCTCATTCTCCTAGTGACAAGAGCTGGACAATGGCCAAACTGGAGCATTAACTAAGGCTCGGCGTCAGCGGTCACGTCGCAACTCAAGTATTCATGCAGAGCCCGTGGTGGAAGAGGGATCTATTTGCCGCAACATGGAACCCTGGCAAAAAGACTATTCTTTGCGCCACTAGTGAATACTCACACACAAGAAACTGAGCAAATCATTCAACTATCTAGCTTGAGGGACATTGACTAAGGTGAAGTTCTTGGGACAACCTATTGTGTGTGAATATTCTATACAGGGATAACATGGTTAAAACTGATAGTAATATCAGTGACTTTGTTAGTGGGGAGGGCAACACTGGCCTACCCTCGCTCCCCGGCCCGCTTTCCGCCACGAGGGGCATAAAGTTCTTCATGAAACCGCTTGCTTGAAGCAAATTTCCGATGTCTGTAAGGGAACGGACAGCGCCACTGTAATGTTCGCTATAGCTCACGGGGTACGCAGTCTCAACCGCTTTTGTTGCTCCTCAGAGTACTTTTGCCACCTTCAATTTATCCAAGGATTGAAATAAAATTTACTCATTGACTCTCTCCTGCTACACGAAAAATTTGAACTTGTAGCTTGCCAACCAATTTAAAGCTAAGACTGAAAACTGTTTTGCTGAGGATTCATGTGGCAGTATAAAATACACTGGGTGCGGAGCAACACAGTCACACGTGCCGCAGTGATGTTCACGTTACATAATAAATACACATACAAGATAGACAAGAAGGGGCTAGACAAAGGTCACAAAGTGGAACACCAGGATGAGTGGGCACTAGATGAATGTATATGAACTATTAGGAAAAGGGTAACCTTGTGACAAATGCAAGAAACTATGTAAAGCAAGACAAGAGTGATGAAAATTATACACATAAGTACAAGACATCTTTAAAGGGGTAAAAAAAAATTATCGCTTCATAAAAGGAGTAAGATTTGAATAATTAATATCATAAGAGGACAAAGATAAAAGCTTCCAGGTAAATGAATTTGCCAAGAAAATCTGGTGCTGAGCTAATACTGTTGTCATTCATATTTCAGATTTGCCTGCACAAAAAGAAGACTCAGGGTAATGAGACCCATTGTGAATTACCTGGAGCTGTTATGAATTATTATCATCACAAAATTATGGCCATTTTATCAAAGAATTTGAAGATTACTAGATTATAAGAAATGAGGTGCAATCATCATAGGAACCATCAAGACATAAAGAGGACATGCAATGTTCAATAATTTTCAAAATAATAGAAAATGTAAGTTCTGAGAATTGTCAGCAAATTATCCATAAGAAATTAAGTTCAGCTAAAGATAAAAAAAGTTCCAGCAATTGATTCTTTGTAAGCTATTGAAAAAGTGCATCAAAATTCACGATGTTTAATATGAAGTGATACAATAAATCAACTCATTTAAGAGAAATTAAGCAAAGAAAATATTTAAACAAGGGAAAACTTAAAACTTTGAAAAGACAACACAATAAAACAAAACAAACTGGGATTCATTCAAGGTAAACTTCACACACTTGTGAGATCACTGGGAATGGCGGTCTAAAAGTCAGCAAAAATGACAGCTGCACGACTACGGTCTACTGTACTACAATGAAACCTTGTCAATAAATTTTTAAGTAAGTCTAATAAAGTTAAAAGTAACATATACAGTACTTAAAGGTGAAACAGCAAGAACTCATGCCATAAAGAAGACAACAAATACATTACCATGCTCTTAAAAATATTAAAATATATCAAAAATAAATATTTTGTCAGGAATCATGAAAAAATTGAAATAACGGTACCGTACAGTACTAAATCTTATAATTTTTTAATTTCTGTTTCCGTGTTGCCCTCGAGGTGATTAAAAGCAAAGGAGATGTAAATGAATACATGTTTTAAAAAGCTTTCAAATAGCTGCATATTCGACTAGTAGCTTAAGTTAGGAACAATCAAGTGTTTTACTGCACACATGTATTACTGAAAAGCCACTGGTTGACCAATGTGTGTCTAACAGCACCAGATTATTTGCTGATCACACATAAAAATCCTTATGTTATCACAAAAGTTTCAGTAGTAGCAGTTACATGCAATTCTAGTATGGTCATTATGAAGCTTTGGCTGATCAATTCTTTTCTGAATTCAGTAAAAACTTTAAAAAGACAGTTACAGTAATCTGAAGATACTATCAATGAATTTTAGGTCATCAGTTCAGTTAGGGACTCTACCTAGAAAGATTATGAATAGACTGACAAATACAGTAGAACTTCTTTACTTCGCCTTCTGTATAATTGCCATCATGATTCTCTGCACGCTTTGAATATTCCCAATGAACTTAAACTTTGACCCCATATGCATTTCTTCATCCATTCAGATATGGTGCCACAGGAAGGTCTTAGTGTCTGTTCTTGTCAGTCAGCACACACAAATGGGCTGAGGCTGTTCTTGACAGGATTACCACATATCTGTACAGTATGTTTATGATAATTCTCGAATATGTATGATAATTTTGAGCCCAGTACGACAACGATAAATATATAAAATACGCATTAAAGCATGCATAATGTACAGTGTTTCAGTTTTTATAAAATGAAATTGTTTAATAGAAAATTTTGCTTATACAGCACAGTACTACAACCATGTTTTCCATGCAGCAAGCTGACATGTAAGGTTTAGTCATGAATATAGAGTACAGTGCTTATGTTCATGACCAAAAGTTGCAGAAAATGCACATTTATAAACAAAATTTTCCATCTAATGTTTTAAATATATAATTTGTGGTACTGTATTTCTTTTTTAAATTGTAAGCACATAATATTTCCCTCTTCAGAAATCTGGGAGCCTTGGTTCCTGCCACCTGATTCTCCAATTTCTGCCACATTCCATTGTTACACCTCATCCACTTAGGAAAAATACCACATTTAGTGTAGCATACATTTGGTTATTTTCCAAACTGTGTGTGTGTGTGCGTGTGTGTGTGTGTGTGTGTGTGTGTGTAGACTAGTGCCTCAGCTCCTCCTGCCAAGTAAAGGAAAATAAACTATTTGATAATAAAAGAAAAGCTCTTCATTGATTCAGGTGTAGAATGAGCGTGGCAAAAGTGGCAACAAAATTTTGTGTCTGTTATTTAACTGTTCAAAGAATGGCAACAATTTCATAAGAAACCTCATTTTCAAGGGTCTTAACTAACTAGACAGATAAATAAATTTTGCAATGAAAAGCCAGAAAGGTGGACTTGAAAAAAAACAAAAACACTTAGTGCACACATATAACCAAGAATCCAAATGTCATCAGCACTGAAATGTCTATTTCTTTTGGTATGTCTTAAATCTTCCCATTTACAGTACTGTATTGCTACAAGGTGTATTATACTGCACTGAATAAAGCACAGTATTCACTGTTTCATTATAATATACAGTGGTCCCTCGGTTAATGAACACAATTCGTTCCACAGAGTCGTTCGTTAACCGAAAATTTCGTTAGCCGAATCTATTATTTCAATGGGATATTAGGGAATTGGTTCCCACTCACAGAAAAAGTACATACAAAGTACTGTATACCGGTAACAGAATTAACAAAACATTAAATATAAACTAAAATGCAGTACTGTACTGTACAGTATACTGTATAATAATAATTAAAAAACAATAGAATACTGTATTCTAACTTACTTTGAGGTGTGTATGTCGTATTCCTGGCAGCTTTGCTTACATATCAAACAGCTGATTGTCGAGGCAGTCGATGATGACATGCCCTATTCTTTACAGAGTTTATTGGTTCTAATGCCTTCTTCGTGTTTCATGATAATTTCTGAACTGTATATTATCAATATGTTAACTAAATTTCAGAATGACCAATAATTTTAAAATAAAAATGAAAAAATATTCAAGAGACCAACAAACTGGATGTTCACTCCACTGTAAACAAAGTTAAACTGAGAAGCGTTGTTGGGTGATTGAATCCACAGATTGGCGCATAAAAACTGTTCCCTGCACTGTATATATTATCAATATGTTAACTAAATTTCAGTATAACCAATAATTTTAATATAAAAAATGCAGAAACATTCAAGAGACCAACTTTCTTGATATTTACTCTGCTGGAAACGAATGTAAACATAGAACTGATTACTGTATTGGCGGACTGGCTGATCAGCTGATGCGCACAACTAAACGTGTTTGTCGTAAGGATTTCGTTAATCGAAGTTTTGTTCATTAATCAAACTGAAAATCCTTATGGGAGCTAATTCGTTAATCGAACCGTTCGTTAACCAAGGGACCACTGAATAATATAACAGTAGAGTACTATGTATGACCACATGTTTGTGTGTTTATATGTGTACTATATCTTTAAAGTGCTCTGGTTAAATTGGAATGGAGTGGATAACACACAATCTGGCCAGTACATACAGTAATTTGATTGAGGTGGAGCAAGTTTTGATTGTTCAGCATTTTTAATTGTTTGCTCAATTAAGGTGAAGTTTAGAAGTACTACTGTACTTTAACAGTGTGTACATAACAACACTTCCAAGGTGAAATGGAAAAAAAATCAGAGATACTGTTAAGTATACAGTATCTTATTATGCCATAAGATACTGCATTATCAGTGGGGAAATGAGACAAAAGAGGAAAAATAATGGACTATGTTTGCTGTTACTGGTAAGAGGAATAAAGAAAAGATGAACTACAGTATTAGTATTGTATATGAAGAGTTATGTTGATATGCTTGGAAAATTATTTTTTGGTCAGTTAATTACAGTATAGTACTGAAATGACTAACAATGTTAGACATTAGCTAATTGGTCATTGCATGAATACAGTTAGATATTAATGGTAAATTAAATAAAAAATTATTATATGCATTTACCTACAGACAGGAGTGATATATATTAAGAGGAAAGAAGGCTTCATGCGGTCTATGGATTACGGAGGATGGGGAACTAAGAAATTTGGATAATTAAATCATTACTTCTTTCTTTGGTCATACTAGCAATCAAAGGTTAAGAGGTTGGCTGGCCTTGGCAAACCAAAGAAGTACCAATGGGGTGGTGGTAGTGGGGGGGGATCTGCCTTTTCTTGCATTAAAGGTTATTAACTAGGACGGCGTGCACGCTAAAGCCCTCTTTGTTGCTCATTTAGACAATCTCAAGTTCCACAACAAACCTCGATGATTGCTATTTTTGGATATTTTATGATATCATCTGATAAAGTAATTCTCAATCTTTTTAGGAGACACTGTTAATGATTAATGTTTATAAAGTAATTACTGCTTCATGATGAGGTAATCAAACCAACAAGCAATTTTTTCAGCATGTGTTAATATCTCTTATATATTTTCATAATCAAAATATTTGGGAAATTACCACTGTGGATCTACAATATATATATATATATATATATATATATATATATATATATATATATA